AAGGGGCAACTTTTTCCACAGAGGGTCATGTATGGAATGAACTGCCAGACAAAGTGGTGAAGGCTGGTATAATTACAACATTTAAAAGGCACCTGGATGGGCATGTGAATCAGACAAGTGTTTAAAAGGATAGGAGCCAAATGCTGGCAAATGGGACTGGATTAATTTAGGATATTTGTCAGCATAGACGAGTTGGACCGAAGGGTCTGTTTCCATGCTGTACGTCTTTATGATTCTATAACTAGCCCTTCACTTGGACAAGATATTCCAGTGCAGCTACAACACTGTCATCTACCCAACATGAAAAGAAATTGCCCAGATATATCTGGTGCATAAAATGCCTAACAATTTCGACCTGGCCAATTATCACCTATCAGTCTACTCCCCATCAGCAAAGTGATGGAAGGGGCGGTCAACAGTGCCATCAGATAGCACTTGAAAATAAACTGCTCAATGATGTTAAGTTAGGTTTCACCAGGGCCATTCAGCTCCTGACCTAATTACAGCTTTAGTTTAAATAAGGACACAAGTGCTGAACTTGAGTGAAGCGATTGACTGCTCTTGATGTCAAGGCAACATTCCAACTGCACCTGAGGATCCCTCATAAAAATGGAATCAATAGCAATCAGGGCAAAACTCTACTCAAAGAAGTCATACCTAGCACAAAGGAAGATGATGGTGGTTGTTGCAGGTCAGTCATCTCAGCTCCAGGACGCCTCTCCAGATGTTCCTCAAGATTGTGCTATTGGCCTAACCATCTTCAGCTGCTTCAACAACCCTCTATACAAGGTCAGAAGTGGCTATATTTGCTGATGATTGCACAATTTGTGACTCCTCAGATACTAAAGTAGCCCTGGTCCAGATGCAAGACCTGGACGACATTCAGGTTTGGGCTGATCAATGGCAAGTAATATTCACACCACACAGTGGCACAAAATAACCATACTCAACAAAAGAATCTAACTACTGTTGTTTTACATTCAATGATGTTACCCCACTGAATCCCCCACTAACATTCTGGGGATTGCCATGGACCTACCATAGAAGTACTGAGAGGTACAAGAGCAGGTCACAAGGTTAGCAATTCTGCAGTGATTAACTCCTCTCCTGACTTCCCAGTGCTGTCTACAAGGCACAAGTCAGATGTGTGAGGACATGTTCTCTACTTGCTTGGACAAGCGTAGCTCCAACAAAACTCACGTTTGACGCCATCCTGGAAAAAGTAATCTGCTTAACTAGCCATTCCATATAACACTTTCAAGACTTACTCCCTTCACCAAGATGCAGTAAGCACTAACACACCAAGGCACCTCCCAAGCCAGTGACCCTGACCTTTCATGCAGATGCATAAAAACACCACAATCTGCAAATTCTCCTCTAAGTCACACACAATCCTGATTCAAACTACATAGTTATTCCTTCACTGCCGCTAGGTCATAATCCTGGAACTCACTTCCTAACATCCATTCACCCCCAATAGTGACAGAAGTTTAAGGCAGCAGCTCACTGCCACTTTCTGCAAGGCAGCTTGGAATGGAAAATAAATGTGTAGCCCATGCCATGAAAAAATAAAAATGAGATTCAGTAGTGTGGCAGCAGCACCCTGTGCAGATCCAGCAGAACAAGTCATGCCATCAAGTGCCACTCCCAAGTATATTGGTTTGTGCTAAGATAAAGTTGCCATAGTTCCAGAGAACTAAAGGCCTGCTCCCTGAGAGAGACACAACTGGTGCCGGTTTAACCTGAGGGCCACCATGCCTCAAGAGAGGCGAGAGATCGAGAAACAGAGTCCTTCATGTCACCTCATCCACTGCTGGAACTGAACCCACACTGTTATAGCATCATTCTGTGTTCTGTCAACCAGCCGTGCAATCAATTAAGCTAACCATGGGTTAGGCTTTAGTTTCTAACCGTCCATGATGATATGCATTCTTTTACACAAGCACTGTGGATGCAGAGTACACTGTTTCAAAAGGATTCAGGGCGCAATGCTATGTGCTGCAGTCATTTATCAAATTTTTAACATCATTAAGTATCTGGTCCAGGATACAGATGGACAGAGCTTCAGAGACATGACAGATACTATCAGCATAGATGAACTTGCAAGACAGTCATTGGGAAGTCAGTGTATATATTTTGAACAGTATTGGGGCTAGCATTGAGCCCAATCAACCAGGCCCAGATCTGAAGCACTCTGGTCACTTCAGGAGCAAGTCAGCATGCCACTGTTTTATAGGCAGCTGTGAAGTCAGTAGCAGCTTGCCTGCCTTTCGCTTCTTTTGAGAGTTAATTTGATATAGTGTCAGAAATTGATCACATGTTGCATCCCCTATGAAAACAAGCCTATTCAACACTCTCTTACATATTACAATAGTTCTTAAAAGTATCTTTTGGCTCAGTCTCTCAGAATATCTTCCAAACTCTCTAACTTATTCTGAAGAAGAGTCATCAGACTTGAAACATTAACTCTTGCTGCCCCACACATGCTGCCAGACCTGCTGAGTTTCACCAGTTTGTTTTTGTCTCAAGCTTATTAACTGAGCGATCAAATAAACACACTGTTCTCTATTGCAATCTGACCTGCAAGTGAATGCAACATTAAATTCAACATATCAACTTCTAGAATATTGCACACATCTATCTTCTTTTAAATGATATAATGTTCCTGTCGTATATATCGTTTACATCATGCTTACAGCAAATTAAACTCAAATTTTCTAATCAGTTAAACCCAAATTGAGAAATTTACAAACACGCTCCAATTTTTTTCAATAATAACACCACAGTAATAAAACCAAACAGTAAAGACTGGTTTTGTGTGCAAACTAATGACAAATTCATGGGCACAGTATAAGAAGCAACCCTGAGTGAGAACAAAGGACACACATTTAAGCACAGGCGCAATTCCAGAAGGAAACAATTCTGAAACAGAGTTACATATTTTTTTCTATGAAAAAAATTACATATGGCTAAATGACAAAAAATCACTGACAACTAAATTTTTTTTTAAAAAAAGGCAAAACAACTGTAACAATTCTAGCAAAGCTTCTTAAGATCAAGTCCCAAGACCTGGACAAGGTCCTTCAGATCAATCTCTACAGAAATCACTGCTGCAGGCAGGGCACTATGAACATAACTGTTTATGATTTACAATTTAGGCCAAGTTGTTTGATCTTTTATGCATGTTTACAATGTAATGCTAGATATGAGCACAAGTTAAATTTGCTCAAAAATTAGAATAAATGTTCATATCAAACAAAATATTTGAATGAGTTATTCAGCTGTTTTTGTCATGTTTACTGGCCACAGGATTCCAGGAAAGATACAGCAACTTGTTAGAAGCAGAGATGCCATTAGAGAATCGGGAATCTGTCCCAACAACACTGAAGAAACTATGATATTATTCTAAGACTGCATGATGAGTGGCTTGGACAAGAACTTGAAGGCAGTGGTGGTCCCATGTATCTGCTGCCCTTGTCCTTCTAGATGGTGACAGGCATGGGTTTTGAACTAGTCTGTCTTACCACCTTCAGAAATCTGCAGACATGTACGCTAAGGTGTGGCACTTCCCCTATCACTCCCAATGTCATCAATTTTTTGTTAGTCTCTGGTTTTGTTTGTCCTTCCCAAATAAATAACCTCATTTCTGCCGACTGAATTGCACTTTTCACTTTTCTGCCCACTTCACCAAACCACTGATCATGACATACAGTTGACAGCTATCCACAATTATACTTCCCACATTTAAGTTTAAATTATTACTATACACCCTAACAGCAAGGGATCCAACTTTGAGGCCTGTGGAACACCACTGTGATGCAAGGTCTAAGATGTATGTGAATACACAACATTTATTTTCAAGTTTGAGTTCTGAAGTTGTTGCGAGTGGTCTGAGTCCATGACCATAACAGGTGTAGGCCATTCAACCCCTCAAGCCCGCTCTACCATTCAATGAGATCATGGCTGATCTGTGATCTACCTCCGTTGACCTACAGCCCTCAAGACCTTTGCTTAACACAAATTTTTCTCAGATTTAAAGCTAACAAATGATCTTGCATCAACTGCCATTTGTGGAAGTGTTCCAAACCTTATCAGCCTTGGTGCATACAAGTGCTTTGTAATATCTCTCCTGAATGGTCTGATCCTAATTCCTAGACTACGCCCCCTAATTCTAGAACATCAACCAGTAGAATTAGTTCATCTTTATCTCCCCTATTGTTTTCTGAAGCAACTACATTGTTACCAAGGTGTTGTGCACACAGATTTGCTCAAAGTACTCCAAATGGATTTAACCATAGCAAGGGGGCTGAATGTTAATATTTCTTGAGCCATGACTTTTTTAAACCAGCATGACAGTGTCTATGGGGCGATAATGGGAATTAAATGCACTGGGAGGTTTTCGAATCAGACACAGTAAACATTGAAGTGCATTTGCTTGGTTTTGCATTGAGAAGATTCATGATTTTATTTAGCTTCAATAGATGGGAGAGGAGAAGAATGAATAGCTTGCAAAATTTGCATTTCAGATCACAGAAGTCATTCTTGTTGGGAGTTGGATGTAAAAATACAAATTTCTCAATTTCTATTGTTAGGAGTTTAGTTTGAAAGTTTCAGGCCAGAAGTATTTGACTAGAATCGTGAAGATGTTTTTCAAACCTGGGAAAGCTTAAACTCAGTTATGTGCATAGCCTCAAGAGCGGAAATTGAAACAAATGATTAAATCAAACCTATACATGTGATAAAAAATGGAATTCTCTGTTTCAAGTACTATAAAGTGATCGTGCTGGGATAGATGGGATTGTATTTTTACTGTTTTTAAATCTTTAACATTATATTATATGCAAGTAACTTGGTTTATTTTATTCGCTGTTCTGCATTAAAAAATTTCACTGTTAATGCACAGCATGTTTCAGTGAAAAACCACCTTGTTAAGCAACAAAGTTACCATCAATCAAGCCAGATGTAAACTCCAAAATAAATATCCAACAGCTATCTCTTACCTATGTTGGTGTATGTGACATTGTATTGTACGGTGATGAACATGATGGCAAACTTGGCTGTGATCTGCAAACAAAGACAAACATCTTAGACTTCAGCCATTTCACATGCAAAACAAAATACAGCATAAATTGTCCAATGAAATTGAAAAGCACTTATGTTTTTCTTCTTTGGGGCACTAAGTGGAAATTGACAATGATATTTAATTGCTGAAGTAATCAAATCCATAAATATTTCTAACATGCTAAAATCCTACACTATAATTTTCTCTTCATCAACATCTACAGGAATGGCCAATTTGAAATCTATTCAGTAAGCACTGGAGCCAAAGTAAGTTAGGCAAATGAGTGGAATGGAAGTGTGGTCTAAAAAACATTCAAGTAAATTCAATGGCTATCTGGAGAGATGGTAATGAAGTGAAAGAAGAGGATGTTAAAAGTAATTCCATACAAGAATCTGCAAAGCAGATTGCAAATTTGGGAGGACAGTTGATGGCAAATCTTGTTTTGGGATAAGGGATATGTCTATACTTTTCAACAGGAAAACTTAAGGTAATTGATTCCATTTCTTCATGTTTGATGTTACGATACTATTTTAAGATCATTGGTTACATTTTTTGGATTTGGACACAACGTCCCTCATAATCCTTCCATTGAATATTAATGAATTATCATGCACTTGTCACTGAAAAGGAATCAAGAATACTTCCTCTAATAACCCATGAGAATCTGTGGGTTGATTCGCTGCCAGCAAATGCACAGCTTGAGGAACATATTCAAATAAATCACAGACAAAATGACAATTTGGTTGTACTTGTTACAAATGTCAAAGGATGACAGACAGTAAATAGCAAGTATTTCAGGGTATTTACTGTTTAAGAATGAAAATGCAAGTTGTTCAGAAAATACAAATGGTCAGACCAATAAATTGCTGAAGGTGCAATATAAAGATTTCTAAGCATCTTAACACTTGCACGAATATTTCGTCACTACACTTGAGCACTAGATTGATGAACTTCAAACTTACAGAGCATGTTAGCACATCTCACATCTAAAACGAGTTAGGAATCAAAAAACTTTTGAAACCACCTTTCAGAAATGTAGAAAATTGGAGGAAAAGTCAGCCATTTGGCCCATTGAGCCCAATCAATTATGGAACAAGATCACAGCTGATCCTCTATTTTAATGACACACTCACGCTCTCTCCCCATACCACCTTGGCACCTCAAGTCACTGTAAATCTATTTCTTTCGTAAATGACTTGGCTTTTATAAAGCTTGTGGTAAAGAATTTCACAGGTTTACCATCCTCTGAATAGAGAAATTTCTTCTCATTTCAGTTTGAAATGGCCCTTACCACAAATTCTGAGACTGTGATGCCTTGTTCTGATGCAGGCAAAACATCATCTCTGCATACAGTCCATACAGCTGTTAGATTTTTCTCATTTCAATGAGATCCTCTTTCATCCTTCAAAACTCCAGTGAATACAAGCACAGTTCACCCATCTTTCATGCAAGCACGCTATCCCAGGAACGAGCCTAGTGAAACTTAGCCGCATTCCCTCTGTGACGAGTTTCAATTTTCTTCAGTAAGGAGACCAAAACTGCACACTATACTCCAGGTGAGGTCTCATCAAGGCCCTGTACAATTGCAGTAAGATTTCCTTCCTCATGTAGTCAAGCACTCTTGCAATGAAGACCCACATACCATTTCCTTTGTTAACTGTTTACTGCACCTCAATTCTTGCATTCAATGACCAGATTATAGGACAGCCAAGTTCCTTTGAACATCAATATTTCCTAATCTATCACCATAACACAGACTATCTGCCATTCTCTTTTTATGCTGAAGGAGAGAATTCCATGGTTATCCATATTATACTGCATTAGCCACGCATTTGTCCACTCCTTGAACTTGTCTGAATGACTCTGAAGCCTCTGTAGATCCTTCTTACCATTCACAGCCCACCTAACAGCCAAATTGCAAATATTGCATTTGATTTCCTCATCCAATTCATTGATATATATTGTGACTAACTCATGCTCCAAGCACAGACCACTGCGCACTTGACACTGCCTTCCAAGCAAAAATGACCAGATTGATTCCAACCCTTTGCTCGCTATCTGCTGAATAATTCTCATCCCATATCAGTATATTACCACCAATCCCATGTGCTTTCATTTTGCACACTCACCTCTTCTTATGTGGGACTTCATCAAAAGCTTCTCAAACATTGCTTATTTATTATGCTAGCCACGTCCTCATAAAAATTCCAGCAGGTCTATCAAATACAACTAAAATCCATGCTGACTTTGGTACTTCCAAAGTGTTCTATTGTCACTCTTTTTTAAACTGAATCGACTCCTACGTTTTCTTCCTACTGATGTTAAGCTAACAGGTCGATCATTCCAGATTTTCCCTCTCCTCCTTTTTAAAAATAGAGATGTTATATTGCCCCCTTCCAATATGATAGAACTGCTCCAGAATCTACAAAGTTTTATAAGGTTAAAACCAACACATTCTCTATTACAGTATGCTGGGATGCACATCAGGCCCTGGAGCATTTCATCAGCTTTCACTGCCACTGCGGGGAGGCAATGGCCTAGTGGTATTATTGCTAGATTGTTAATATAGAGACCCATTCTGGGGACCCAGGTTTGAATCCCGCCACGGCAGATAGTGGAATTTGAATTCAATAAAATATCTAGAATTCAAGAATCTCATGATGACTGTGAATCAATTGTCAATTGTTGGAAAAACCCATCTGGTTCACTCATGCCCTTTAGGGAAGGAATCTGCCATCCTTACCTGGTCTGGCCTACACGTGACTCTGGGAAGTTATTTGTCTTGTGTTCTGTGAAAACAGAACAGAAGTTCTTTGCTGTTTTAATTAATTTGTAGGATGTGCGTGTTGCTGGTTGGCCAACCAGCTTTTGTTACCTGAACCTAGTTGCCCTTGAGGTGATGGTGGTGAGCTACCTTCTTGAACCGCTACAGTCCACCTACTGTGGGTTAACCCACAATGTCCTCAGAGAGGAAATTCCAAGATTTTGACCCAGTGACACTGAAGGAACAGCAATATATTTCCCTGTCAAGATAGTGAGTGACTTGCAGGGGAACCTGGTGATGGTGGTGCTTCCATGTATCTGATGCCCCTGTCCTTCTCGATGGAAATGGTTCTGCATTTGCAAAGTGCTAACTGAGGATCTTGGGTGAATTTCTGCAGTGCATCTTGTAAATATTACACACTGCTGTAGAGTGTCAGTGATGGAGGGAGTGGATATTTGTGGATGTGCTGCCAATCAAGCACCTTTGGTGTCAAGCTTGAGTGTTGTTGGAACTGCACCCATCTAGGCAACTATGGTGTATTCCAACACACTCCTGACTTGTGCCTTGATGGACAGGCTTTGGGGAGTTAGGAGAGTTACTTACCGCAGTTTTCCTAGGCATCTGCTACAAGAATAGGTCAGAGGCTATGTGGCGAGTACAGTTGCATTACTGGTCAATGATGACACCCAGGAAGTTGACAGTGGGGAATTCAATGTAAAGGCAGCAGTGGTTAGATTACCTCTTATCGGCATTTGTGTGGCATGAATGTCACTTGCCTGAGTATTGTCCAGATCTTGTTGCATTTGAACCTGGACTGGTTCAGTATGTGAGGAGTCACGAATGAATATCGCGCAATTGTCAGCAAACATCCCCACCTATGATTTTATGATGGAGGGAAGGTAATTGATGAAGCAGCTGAAGATGGGTGGGCCTCAGACACTACCCTGAGGAACTCCTGCAGCAATGTCCTCGAGGTGAGATGACTGACCTCAAACAACTATGACAATCTTCCTGTGAGCCAGATATGACTCCAGCCAACAGAGAGTTTACCCACAATACCCACTTTTTCCAATTTTGCTCGGGCTCCTTGATGCCACACTCAATCAAATAATGCCTTGAATTCAGGACTGTCACTCACTTCAACTCTGGAATTCAACTCTTTTGTCACTGTGTGAACCAAGGCTGTAATGAGGTCAGGAGTTGAGTGACCCTGGCAGAAACCAAACTGGGCACCACTGAGCAGATGCTGCTTGATAGCAGCATTGATCAGACCTTCCATCACTTTACTAATGATCCAGATTAGACTGGTGGGGCGGTAATTGGCTGGATTGGATTTGCTCTACTTTTAAAACAGAGGATATACTTGGGCAATTTTCTACATTGTCAGGTAGATGCCAGTGTTGAAACTGCACTGGAACGGCTTGACCAGTGGAAGGACAAATTTTGGAGCACAAGTCTTCACTACAATTGCTGGAATGTTGTCAGGGCCGGTAGCCTTGACAGTATCCAGTGTTTCCAACCGTTGCTGGATATCTCGTGGAGTGAATCGAACTGGCTGAAGACTGGTACCTGTGATGCTGGGGACCACCATAGGTGGCCGAGATGGATCACCCACCTGGCACTTGTGGCTCAAGATTGCTGTGAATGCTTCAGCCTTCTCTTTTGCACTGATGTGGTGGGCCCTTCCATTAGTGGAGGATGGGATATTTGGGGAGCCTCCTCCTCCAGTCAGCTGTTTAGGTGCCCCCAGCATCATGACTGGACGTGGCAGAACTATGCAGCTTAGATGTGATACATCGGTTGTAGAATTGCTTAGCTGTGTTTATACTTGCTTCTTAGGCTGTTTGGCATGCAAGTTGCCCTGTTTCGTTGCTTCACCAGGTTGACAGCTCATTTTTAGGTATGCCTGGTGCTATTCCTGGGAATATTGTCCTTAATTGCAGAAGGGATGGAATTTAAAAATAGGGAGTTATGCTACAGCTATACAGGATGTTGGTAAGGCCCCATCTGGAGGTGTATGTACAATTTTGATCTCCTTACTTGAGAAAGGATGTATTGACACTGCAGAGGGTGCACAAGAGGTTCTCTAGGTTGATTCCAGAGTTGAGAAGATTAGCTGAGGAGAGACTGCGTAGACTAGGACTATACTCACTGGAATTTACAAGAATGAGGGGCGATCTTATAAAATAAAATTATGAAAGGAATATGTTAAATAGAAGCAGGGAGGTTGCTTCCACT